GGGTGCGCCGGTAGATGTCGAACAGGCCCTCCGACCCCATGATGCGGTTCAGTACCCGCATAGCCCCGTCCACATCCCCGTCCTTCACCAGTACTGTCTTACCGATGAACCGCTCGTTCAGAGCACGCGTTACGAGAAGTCTTGCGGTGATAAACATGTGGACGAAGTGGTAGATCACCAGTGATTTGGTGGTCGAGTGTGTTGTCAATTGGCGTTTGTTTTGCTGTTTATTGTATTGACTGTGAATGCGAGGGCATGTGATTGGCCTTTCACTGGGCTGTCAATAGATTACGTGTGATGTATAGTACGTCCGATAATTGTTGGCAAAGAATATTCTGTATGTTTTGTATGGGAAATGGTTTTGAATATTAGGTTTAATTGTAAGTTAGCTAGGTGATTAATGAATATAATATTTTAATTGCAGTTATTTAGTAATTATTTATAAAATAGTTGTGAAATATAACATTAAATGAAATATAGTAATTATAAATGAATGTTAAACTTACTTGTTAGTTAAACATAACTTTATTAATGTTAATCTTAAAATAATTTTATTATTACTTATCAATTACAGTATCAAATATAATAGTGATAAACACATAATTTTAGATTTTATTATACCTTTAAATTCAAATTTATTTTTAATTTTAATTCATTAATAAATGCACAACCATTTTAATATGAATTTAAATAATACTAACGACTATTATAATAAAAAATATTTTCTAATTATTTTGAAGTAGTGTTGACAATGTTATCAATTGAATCAATAGATAAAGTATTTTATTGTTTATAATTATTAGGTGTATTTGATAAAAGTAAAGGTAATATATAAATATTTATTCATTAACTAATAGGAATACTGTAGTACAGTAACTATATTAACGATAATAACTGGTAGTTGTCATTTGAAACGACATTTTAAGTTAAAATAAAATTAACATAATCTTTGTCCATGGTAATTATTGATGAATAAACTCAATGGACAGGTGGTTCAGCCACCGCTATACAAAGTAATCATGGTGGGCAGGGATGATTCTGGCAAAAATGCCCTAGCCCTTCAGTTCATGTACAATGAGGTATGTCAATATCTAGTTACATCAAGAATAGTAAACATTCTAGGTTCATTTTTAATAATGCCCAAAATATATTTAAGTTGGGCATAAATAAAATATATTATAAACTATATTATACTTAAAATCAAACATTAATTTCGGGTAGAAATATTTAAAATTAGTCTTTCAATTCTGCTTTAATATTACTGTATAATAAAGGACAGTTTAAATACTTGTTTTGTATATTCATATTAGATTTTTGACAATTAAAACTATATTTTTGTATTTTAATGTAAAGTTTGTTGAGGACTATAGCCCAACAAAAGCCGATTCGTACCGAAAAAAGGTTATTCTGGACGACGAAGAGGTTCAGATCGATATCCTGGACACCGCCGGACAGGAGGACTATCCGGCCATTCGTGACAACTATTTCCGTTCGGGTGAAGGATTTCTATGCGTTTTCTCGATCACAAAACACGAGTCCTTCACTGCTGTCAATGAATTCAGGTATTCATCACTTGTTTGTCTGAACTGTAACTTAAATATTGAAAATAATTTTAAGTAAATTTAGTATTTTTGGTGCTTATCATTGGTCGCAAACATTGTAGTCGCTTGTATTATTTTAGTTAATTTTGATATATTTATTAATAACGCCTTAGCAAATTAAAATTAGATTTTTGTAATTCAATATTGGACGCAAACATCCGTTACTCTGATTGTTTGATTTAATTTTGTATACATGTATTTATTTGACAATTAAAATACTTTAAAATACTATATTGAGCTAAAATTTAATTTTACGTATGTATTATTTGAAACTATTAACATTTGAAACTGTAATTTAATTCAAGTATTATAAATTAATAAATATTTTTCTTAGCACTTCAATAGTGGGTATAGACTTAGGAGTAATATTATTTTGTTAAACATTTTAAAATTAGATATTTAATTTGTATATAATTTTATAATTTATATTAAATATTGGAACAGTTTAAAAATTTAAAAAGTTCATAAAATTGTCTAGTATCTGATTTAAATTTTATTTATTTATTTTTATCTACACTACAATTATTATTAAACTTGTTAAATATTCAAAAACTATGGAATTTTTCCGATTTCTTACAATTTATCAAAATATAAAACAAATCATAAACGCATTACTAAAGGAATGGTATGTTTTGGTGACCCCTTTAGGGAGCAAATACTGCGAGTGAAGGGCGACGACAACATCCC